ATTGTACACAATTATAAATAAGCAATTTTTTACATTACAATTTGTTTCATATAAAACAATGTCTAAATCTATAAATAAAGTTATATACAGGGTGCCCCGCCAAAATCCGGACAAAGCGAACAATTTCTTTGAACAAAAGTTTATGAATGAAAAGTTAAGTATTAGAAAAAATCCTTTTGCAGGGCACTTAGGGGATCCCTATAGACCATAATTATTCAATATATCCGCCATTAGATTGAATGTCGGCTTCTATTCTCAGTCTGAAGCGTCCGCACGCACGTAATGCAGCGCTGTCCATGCCGGTGAATGTTGCCTCAATGGTAGTCCTTAATGACGTCACATTGGGATGCCGGGACTTGTTGGTAACCCTTTCAACCACGCTCCATACGTAGTAGTCCGAGGGATTCAAATCTGGGCTATTAGGAGGCCAGAATTCTTTCGACCAAAACATATCGACATTGTCGGAGAGCCAGTTGAGCCAGCCTGAGAGTATCTGTCGTATCTTGAGTGTGTACGATTTGTATCGAAGATCCTCCTCGGCAATTCGACGCATTGTTGGCTCGCTTACACCCACAATCGACGCCAATTTTCGCAACGATTGCCCTGGGCCCTCCAAAATCAGCGCTTGAGCCCTTTCGACGACTGCGGGGATCCTTGCGGAGCGTTCTTTCGAGTGACTTTTCCTCGCTGGCATACTGGAACTATTGTTGGACTGTTCTGAAGCCGTATATTTTGTCACAACGTCATAAACGGTTGATCTCGGGTATCCAAAGAACTGAATTATTTCCATTGCTGAGCGCCCAGCGCGAAGCCCTTCGATGATCGCGGCTCTTTGATTATACTCCGCACTTGGTTTCAACATCGCAGCTATTTTGAGATTACGATTGTTTTCTAAAAGTGTCAGGCTTTCGCAGACGCCAACAACGATCTCTAACAGAGGCACAATAAGGCGAGAAATTTAAATCGAAATGTCCGGATTTTGGCGGCGCACCCTGTATACACAAACATAACAATATATGCCTTAACCCTATATAAGCATACAAATATAGATACAATACAATTGTACACAATTATAAATAAGCAATTTTTTACATTACAATTTGTTTCATATAAAACAATGTCTAAATCTATAAAGTTATATATACACAAACATAACAATATATGTCTTAACCCTATATAAGCATACAAATATACATACAAAAATATATCGCGCGCACGCTAGAGAGAGAGAGAGTGAGAGAGAGAGAGAGGCGCACACCACACACATACAATTGTACACAATTATAAGTAAGCAAAATTTTTGACATTACAATTTGTTTCATCTAAAATAATGTCTAAATCTATAAAGTTATACAGAACTGTGTAGAATTGTAAATTTGTAGGCACACCACACACACACACACACACACACACACACACACACACACACACACACACACATACATAGGCCTACAAATATACATGTAAAAATT